TCCCAGGTGGTCCCCCTGGTGACATACGACCCATATTTGCATATGGGCGCGCTCTTTTAAATACCTGAGATGACCTGTCAATCACAGGTATTTAAACTTTCGCCCCTTGACTCGGCCCGTCAAGTGGCGCGCCCCTGCGGGCGGAATCTGTACTTCTGAACACCGTCGGTCGGTAACGTTACCCCCGGAGGAGTGACTATTGTACCAACCGAGCGATAATTCGGTTTCGGTCAATTATTTTCCGTTTCTCCCGTTTCTTTCGATATTTTCCATCGGAAAAAGCCCCTTTCTGGCTCCTAGGCCATTCCTCCCCGGGTGAATGAGGAGAACAGCGTTCGGTGCAACAGAAAAAGCTCCCTCGGAGGGGAAAATCGATGCTTTCGCTTTTCAGAGGAGGAGAATTATCTCGTCACCTCACAATTATCCTCCCCGGGTGAATGAGAGAAGGAAGTCATGAGTTTCGGAAAACCTCTCCTCGCCATGAAATTTCGCACTTCCGGATTCACTTTGTTTGCACGGAAGGAAAAAGCCGTCACTCTCGGAAAAATTATTTATTAATTTTTCTCCGCATTATCCCTGGGATAATTATTTTCCTTTCGGGGAAAAAGTAAAATTTTTCCCCCGGATAACCATTAGGATGATTTCTCCTCCTCATTTCTGAGGTTTTCTCGTACTCCGTTTTGCCGTAGCCGCACGTTGGGTGCCATTTTGTAAGGAATTTTCCGCCGGTGCATCACCAGCAGAGATCCCAAACTAATTTGGCACTTTCTCTATCGCTCAATTATGTCGGGCGCCAGCTGGATTTTTACGAAAAATCCAACGGTAAATCGGCCTCAGAGGATAACTCGTCTACCCTGAGGACTTCTCGTGGCGGGACGAACAATGCCGAGCCAGCATCAGCGTAAAACGATAGAGTGGGCGAGGTCCACCATACTAGGAGTAATTCACTCGATCGATCTTCGTCTTTTCAGCCGAGAGACCTCGATAAAGCGTATCTTCCAGGAGCCATTCCTCCATGTATTTTTCGCCGAGGATGTTTCCATTCCTCTGACGTATTCCTTTCCTCTCCAGAGTGGCTCAACTCTGGAGAAGTCGACCATTACCTGCGAATCCTTCTCACTGCTCGGAGCGCCCAACACTGAGAGGCACATGCGATACAGGTATCCGAAGACTTATTCTCACCCACCCAGAGCCTCCTTGGCTGTAGCTGGCTCGGAGTTGTGGAATGGCATCCTTGCTGTCATCAGAGACCTGCCCACCAGCTTAGGATTCAAATGTCAGCTTAGGTCTTGGCTGCGCACCCGGGTTGAACCCAGCTGATTACGTGTGATTTGATGAACTATTCTCTTATGCTTATCTCTTTTGCTTTACTCTGACTCACTTCATTGCCTGTGTGCTAATGCTACTGTTTTTCCACGCTATTTCTGTGCTTTTATCTCAATGTATCCTCTCTTATTTATAATCTCTCATCTGTACAATTTGTTTAAATTTCTAAACAATAAACTCCTTATCTTATCTTATCTTACCTGTGCCCACCCCAACTGAACCTCAATGCTCGGTAAAAGCACTATTATCGTGGGCCAACACCCAAAGTACTCGTCGTGGGGGCACGTGCGATCGGGCCTCCAGGAGTCGGCCTAACTCCCGGCCGACGGATCCACGCCAACACCACTTCTTTCGTCCGAAGTGATAGATCTCTGAGAACATGGAATTAAAACACCCCACGTCCTCAAAGTAATCCGATCATTCTGTTTGGGACGCTGAAGCGTCCCATTCTCTCGCTGTTCCGGATCTTGTCCTCACAACGGACCCCCATAATCCATAATGGATTAATGCCACTTACGACCGTCGTCGAGGACCGGACGATTTTCATCCGCTCGACTCCAGTGCCTGTCACCGACTGTCTCAAGAATCGAGAAAATCAACAGTGTAATATAAAATTTATCACGATGCGTGCGTTATTCCACAATAAAGTCTATCAATAGTGTGGTTTTATAATTCCGCATGTTTTAATTTCCTACCTCCTCCCACAATTCCACTTTTCCCCAACCGGCATCTCAATTTAGCTTCAATCTCAAACAAGTTCCCCATAAAAATTTCTCTATCCCTCTCAGATTAGAATATATTCAACAAACTAAGTGCCTGAGGGTCAGTTGAAATGGCTTTGATGTTTAGTTTTTACTAAATATCTTCGAATATAATGAAGATAGGGGAATTTTTCGAAAGACCTTGTTTGGAGGGAAAACTGAATTTAGGGTGGATTGGGAAAGGGGTAGTGGAAATGCCGGTGAAAAACGAACGCACAGAGTCTATAAAAAATATATTGATTTATTCGGTGGAATCGAACCACCTTAGCGTCACTTGTTACACTCTGTTAATTGTCACTGAAATTAATTCAGACTGTTCTGAATTTAACACTGGAAATTTTCTGAACAATATACTGAATAATAGGAGACTGTACTGAGAATTTAAATAGGAGATGTACTGAGAAAATAAAATGTCTCGAACGGGTGATGTACTGACGCTGTTCGGATAACCGAAAGTAGCTTTAGAATAAACGATATACTGCTCGCTCAACTCAGTTGCTACGACTCTCTACGACTGACTGACTCTGAGATTCGGTGATTAACTAGGCCTGACCGTTGACCCGAGGTTTCCCGAAGATTTTCGTAAGTGGCCGATCCGTGGTCAACCGTTGATGTACTGAATTTTGACTGCGTTTCAAACACCCCGGGGGCATTCAACATCAGGTTTTTGAATTACTGGATCTGGTTTCTGCTGGTCTGATTCTGCTGATTCTGATTCTGCTGATTCTGGTTCTGCTGATGCTTGCTAAGGGGAGAAAGCAGGGTGAGAGACGTATCACTTACCAAATTAAAAACATATGAAAGATGATACTTAACTCTCAGTCCTGCAGTTCCTGGATGTCCCCTTGCTGTTGATCGTCTTCATCATCTGGGTGATCTTCTTCTGGAGGTTGTTCTGGTGTAGGTGGGTCTGTAGGAAGCAGACAGAGCTTGGTGATTGGTCTGTCAAACACCGAGTGGGCTGCTGTGATGTTCTGGAGATTAGGCGACCCATCTTGATGTCTGCCGACTTCTGCTTTGCTCGTTCTGACTGTGGCTACTCTGGTGAGTCCATCCGCTCCTGGTCTAGTCGCGATGACTCTGGCGATTGGCCACTACGCTGGTGGAAGGTTATCGTCGACCATCAGCACCATGTTACCAACCTCGATGTTCTGCTGACGTGTCTTCCACTTGTAGATAGCCTGGTATCGTTGGAGACACTCTTTGGACCACCTGGACCAGAACTGCTGAACTATCCGAGTCACGAGGTTCCATCTCCTCATCTTGAGGGGATTCTCGTCGACGTAGGATGACTCTGGTACTATCTGTAGAGGCTCGCCGATTAAGAAGTGTCCTGGGGTGAGAACCTGGAGATCTTCTGGGTCGTCTGACATCGGACAGATTGGCCTGGAGTTTAGGCAGGCTTCAATCTGAACTAAGACTGTGTTGAGTTCCTCAAATGTTAGCGTTGTCGTTCCCAGGACTCTCTTGAGGTGATGCTCCGTTGATTTTACTGCTGCTTCCCATTTGCCACCAAAATGGGGTGCTCTAGGTGGTGAGAAGCTCCACTGAATCCCATTGGTGGCGAGAGCAGCCTGAACACGTTGATTTTCTTTAGATGCTTGGTGATAGAGCCTTTCGAATTGATCTACTGCTCCGACGAAGGTGGTGGCGTTGTCACTGTACATGACTGCTGGAATACCTCGTCTTCCGGTGAATCTCTTGTAAGCTCCGAGGAAGGCTTCTGTGGTTTGCCTGTTGACGAGCTCTAGGTGAACTGCTGACGTGGTGAAGCACACGAACACTGCGATGTGCACTGATCCCGGTTGAGCATTCGTGGGTCTCCACTTGAAGATGGCGAAAGGACCTGCATAATCCACCCCCGTGTGAGAGAAATGCTCTTGCTGGTGAGACTCTGGTTGCGGGCAATTGTCCCATCTGTTGCTGAGCCTGTCGAGCTCGGTGTCTGGCAAAGATAGCACAGCGTAGGATGTAGGCTCTGATTGTGCCCCTGCCACCGAGTATCCAATAGCGTTGCCGAGTGTAGGCCAAGGTGAGCTGTGTCCCTCCGTGGAGGGTCTTCTGGTGAGCTTCTGCGATGACGAGTGTGGTGAATCTGGACTGACGTGGCAAGATTATTGGGTGGATCTGTTCTGGATGGAGTTCTGAGTTCTTGAGGCGTCCCCCAAGTCTCATGATGCCCTCCTCGTCCAGAGTTGGGGTGAGTTTCGCTAACTAGTGATTTTTAGGTGGCTGCTGATTTCTGAGAAGTACCCTGAGTTCTGAAACAAAGTACTGGTGTTGTGTTATTTTTACCCAAAATAATCTCGCATCGTTGAGTTCTCTGGTCGTCAAGATAGATCCCGGGGGCATTGGCTGCCTCCTGAATCTGTCGATGGCCCTGTTGATGGTCGCTGTTACTGCTAACAGCTTTGCCATCGTGCTGTATCTGTTGAGGAGCTCGGCAATCTCGTTGATTCTCTGTACGACTGGGTGAGATTTTGCTGGTTTCGCTTCTTTGGCCACTTCTGGGATGTCCATTGGTGGAGCATCGATAGTTGATCGTGGCCAGTCTTCAGGGTCCTGATTTAGCATCTGCTGCGTTGATGTTACGAGTTGAGTTAACAGGAGAGCTGCAGTAAGTTCCAGACGTGGAATAGTCATGGGCTTGATCGGTGCTACCTTGGTCTTAGCGCAGACCAAAACTGTGGAGGCTTGCTCGTTGAGATTCTGAGTGCGAATGTATACCACAGCACTCATAGCTACTGTTGAGGCATCTGCGAATCCGTGTAATTGGATGTCGTTTGTCTGAGGTGAGAGTCTGAGCCATCTGGGTACTGCAACTTTATCTAGTTCGGTGAGTTCCTGGCGAAATGACTCCCACCGGTGAATGTACTCTTCGGGGAGGGGGTCATCCCAACTGCATTTGAGTTTTCAGAGATCCTGAAGGAGAATTTTCCCCTGGACGACGACTGGAGCGATAAATCCCAAAGGATCGAAGATCTGGGCTATCTCTGAAGAGACAATTCTCTTGGTGATCGTCTCTGTGCTGAAGTCTCTGCATTTGTACTGGAATGTGTCGGACAACTGATGCCAACACAGACCCAGTACCTTGGTGACGGACTCTTCAAACTGAATGACTTCTTCCTCTATTGATAGGCCAAGCTCATGCAAGAGCTGAGGGCAATTACTGCTCCATTTCTGGAGAGGGAAGCCTCCTGCCTGGCAAAGTCCTTGTAACTGCCATACTATCTCCTTGAGTTCTGCTGGTGAGTCTGCTCCGCCGTAGATGTCGTCTACGTAACGACCTCTGGTGATTGTCTCGACGNTAATATGTGGGCACTGATCTGAACCTGTTGATTTCCGTTGATTGCCTGAAGTGTAACTGATACCAATCCTCTCATGCTGCCGGAATTAACTCCTCCAANTGTAGGAGATTTGCTGTTTGTTGTCATCAACCCACAAAATTCTCTGCAGGTCCCAATCGTCCTGATGAACTCGTATTTGCCTGAACATCTTGACTATGTCAGTGCCAAACACGAGCCTGTGCTTTCTCATCCATGTTAGAACGTCCATGGCGTTGGTCTGAAGTTTTCCACCTGGATGTAGAATGTCGTTGAGTGACGTTCCTGATGAAGTGGGGCTGGAGCCATTGAAGACGACTCTCAGCCTTGTGGTGATTGCATCTGCTCTCAGAACCCCGTGGTGTGGAAGATAATAAACTGGAACGGGTTCTGCTGTCTCTGGTGCTCTTTGCATATGACCCAAAGTCTCGTACTCGTTGATGAACTCCTTGTACAGCTGGGCATATGCCTGATTATTGGTGAGTTTGCTGATTGTAGATCTGAGCTGACCCGAAGCCTTGAATTTCGACTCCCCGAGAGCTGCTGTGGAGGTTTTCAACGGGAGCCTCACTATGTACCGTCCCGTTGAATCTCTGCTGTGTGTAAACCTGAAGTGTTTCTCACACTCCAGCTCGTCTGGTGATAACTCTGAATTTTCTGACTGCTGAACTGGTAACTCTTCCTGGACCCAAAATTTCTGGAGAAGTTCTAGAAGTTGTTCGTTTGAGGAGGTCCTTACAGCTGATAGGGAGATCCTCGCTGAACAACCGGTGCAGTTGATTGGACCTGATAGAATCCAACCAAAGACTGTGCGTTGGCCGACGACTTTTGACTGCTTTGACTTGACAACTTCATCTCTGATGATTCGCCCGTAGTTGTCAGCCCCTATGATGATATCGATTGGTCCGGGCTTGAGATACTGCTGATCTACTAGCTGTAGATTTTCTAATGAACCGATGTTCGCTGAGGCACATGAGAACGATGGTAGAATTGCGGTGAGTCTCTTTAATATGTGGGCACTGATCTGAACCTGTTGATTTCCGTTGATTGCCTGAAGTGTAACTGATACCAATCCTCTCATGCTGCCGGAATTAACTCCTCCAATTCCGATGAATTCCAACGTTGTTGATTTCCTGGACAAGTGCATTTGATTTACTAGTTTTTCTGAGATAAATGACACCTCTGAACCCTGATCGATGAGGACTCTGGCTCTGCTGGAGAATCCTCGTGGTGATTTCACTGTAACTCGGGCTGTCGCCAACAGCACCGATTGTTGATCTTCTGAAGGTTGATTTGACTGCTGGTTCCCATTGGTCATCTGATTGTTGAGGTTAACTGCTGCTGTTGATGTACTGGGCTTAGCTGTTGAGAATGACCAATGAGAAAGTGAATGTACTGATTATTTAAAGGAACATTCACTTACTCTGGTCCTCGTCGATCCTCTCTTCTGCAGGTCTGTTGGCAGTTCCAGAGAACCCTGCAGCTTCCGAGTCACGACGTGGGGGAGCCCATCCTGTGTACCTGCTGCCTCCGTGGATCAGAGTGTGGTGAGATCCTTTGCACTTGTGGCATTGTTCGTCTGAGCTGCACTTGTCTTTTTTGTGCGTGCCCAGGCACCTGAAGCATAGTTTCTTGTCGATGGCCAGGCCGTTTCTCTTTACTGGGTCCAGCTCCTTGAATTGCTGACACTTATCAACAAAGTGGTTCTCTTTGCACATGGAACACTCTTTCCTTTGGTGACTGTTCTGCTGAGCGCTGTCCTCCACTTGTTGAGTTGCTGCGTAAGCTCCTTTCTTCTTAATAGGTGGTTTGCTGGGAGCGGTGATCTGCTGTCTGGAGTGGAGTTTGGACCCTGCGTTGATACCCCTGGCACAGGACTCCACGAATACGACGAACTCTTTGAGACTGGGGAAATCCTTGGCGTCTCCCAATTTCAATTCCCATTGTCTGAGGGTCTCTGCGTCCAAGGACTTCCTCAGGAGGTGAGCGAACAGCTGTTCTGTTAGGTTCGCTTCTGAAAGGCCGGCCACTGTTCTGAGCTGGTCCAGCGACTCGACCACTGCTGCCACGTTGTCGGTGAGATTCTGTTCCGTGGGTTTGGTGATTTTTGGCAACTCCAGGACTCGATTAAATAAGTACTGTGCCAAAAGTCTGGGATCATCGTACTTCTTTTGGAGCTTTCTCCATGCGTTCTCATAATTCTGATCGCTGATGGGTATCGTAGAGATCAGAGCTGCTGCTGGTCCTCTGAGGCTGCTCTTCAGCCTCACCAATTTCTCCACTGGGGGAATTGTAGATTTGCTGCCCACCAGTGAAGTGAAGAGGTCACTGAACTCCTTCCACTGTGAAGGATTGCCATCAAAAGGCTTGATGTCCAGTCTCTTCAGCTGATCGTGGTGTTGAGGACTCGGTGGTATACTGGGTGGCTGAGCTTTCTTAGCTAGTTGACCCCTCAACCTGCTGATGAGCCTGACGCATTGCTTCCTAGTGGTGGCTGCCTGCTCGAATACCCCGTTCGCGAGATACGGGTGATCGTGTGGAATGGACTCGATCAGGCTCCCCTGGATGGTGAGTAATTCTGCCCATTCGGAATCCAGGATCCTATCGTGGCCGTCCAAATCCTCGGAGGTGACATCCTCGTCGGTCATGATGACCTTGGTGAGTTCCTGATAAATCTCCGTAATACTGTCCACCCTGAGCTGTATCTGCCTCAGTTGGATGAGTTGATGCACTGTGAGACCATCCTCTGGAACTTGAATAATCTCGCAGTACCTCTGCTTGACATCCGAAATTAATTTGTCCCCTTGATTGAGTGTATCCCCATCAGGGGCATTGAGGATGACCTTCGGAATTCCAGGTGGTGAGTTTACTGCGCTCGTGGATGGATTAATTTCCTCCTTATTGTCCTGCAATTCTTGTTCAATTACTGTTTCGGAGCCTGACATGGTGATGTACTGTTTTGTTTACAACCTGTCAGATCCCTTGGTAAATGAGTACGAGAGTTTCTACTTTACCGACCGCCTGCGGTTTACCACTCGGTGAGTTGCTGTGTTGCGTCGGTAACTGGTCGTCTCTGCTGCTGTGAGGCGCCGCCTGTTGCTGGGCGCTGGGCCCGCGCTTAGACTGTTCGGCAACACTCGGTGATTCTCGCTGACTCTCGACTCTACGGCACGTTGAGGCACTGGAGGACAATGGTGTTTATACTTCTATTGTCCGGAGAATATAAACACTGGCACAAACACGTCAGAATTTGTCCATTGAGTTTCTGCTGTGAACCCCGAATGTCCGCGTGGGTTTTCCACGGCACTGAATAATTTCACACTACCGATTCCCGAATCCGGCTCGAAGGACCATGTGTTTGGAGGGAAAACTGAATTTAGGGTGGATTGGGAAAGGGGTAGTGGAAATGCCGGTGAAAAACGAACTCACTGAGTCTATAAAAAATATACTGATTTATTCGGTGGAATCGAACCACCTTAGCGTCACTTGTTACACTGTGTTAATTGTCACTNGCTTTAGAATAAACGATATACTGCTCGCTCAACTCAGTTGCTACGACTCTCTACGACTGACTGACTCTGAGATTCGGTGATTAACTAGGCCTGACCGTTGACCCGAGGTTTCCCGAAGATTTTCGTAAGTGGCCGATCCGTGGTCAACCGTTGATGTACTGAATTTTGACTGCGTTTCAAACAGACCTTTTTTGTAGCTCTTACTTCATTCTATGAAAAAGGTGTGTTTAAAACACCGCAATAGTTTCCTATCTAATGGCACCGGGCTCAACGAAAATTCTCGAACGACCTCGAGAGCCAGATCACGAAGTAAATCACCCATCGAGTTCAGTATCGTATCGTGTCAATCTCTGTACAGTCAGTATTGTCGCAATCGCTCTATCGAGTACATCACCGAGTACATCACCGTGAGATACTGAGTTAACGCCCCTAGTAGCGTCTCTATTCGAGTGAATCATCTATTAATATCGAGTCAATTATCAATCATTTTGAGACTATAATCAAGTGAATTATCATGAGAATTATCAAGTGCAGTGTAGAGACGATTATCGAATTTAAATTGAGACAATTCAACGAACAGTGTACCCTTATAAAATTTCTAGATGCGTGGTTTACACCACAAATAAAGTACATCACCAGTGGTAGTAAATCGCGTGTTCTTAATTTTCACACCTTTTCCAAATCACTTTTCTCCAACCCGCCTAAATTTTTAGTATCAATCTCAAACAAGGTGCTTGTAAAAATTGCTCCATTTTCATTCGATTCAAAGATATGCATCAAAAATCAAATCTGAGCAGACTTGACCCATCTCGTTTTATCACTCAGCCATTCAATCACTCAATGTGAACACAACAATGCAAAGAAATTGATTGCGTACCTTCAAGTCAGTAGTAACTACTGGCTGTTTTTCAAGTAATATTATGAGATGGAATCAGATTTCCTTGGGCGAACCATTTTTCTAATCACCACACATAATAGTATATTATGTCACCAGGCGATAAAATTATCTGGCGAATGTGGCATTATAATCCGAGGCGAAGGCGAGGATTATAATCACATTTGCCAGATAATGCTTTTATCGCCGTGATAAGATAAGACATCGCAAACTACACTCTTCCTTTCTCGATGCTGATTTGGTCCAGACGACCGGTATTACTCCACCGTTGCAACCGTCGCTAATAAACATAAATGAGTTCCTGCCACCTGCTCTCTACAAGCTGCGTCGTGATGCTCGTGATGAATGCAGAAGGAAGGGTTTCACTACATTCATACGTACTGGAGAGGTCTACGTCAGGAGAAAGAAGGATGACAAGCCAACACTCATCTCGTCCCATGAGGACTTAAAAAACTTCTTAGAGGGCTCTCAGTAAACTTGTCATATAAGCACCCTTCATCTATTACTTCATCTAATTTTTCGACTCCATCCTCGAACAGTAATGCCACTCATCACTTACATTCATCTTTTCATGCTAACTCATCTACTCTTGACTCCTCTAATGCTTCACCACTATTGTCTGATGAGGGCCTACGTGTTTGTCACCTCAATGTGAACTCGATTAGGGCTCACATTGGGAGTGTCGAGCACTTTTTAGCTTCTCGTCCGCCGTTCCATATAATAGCCATGTCAGAGACCAAGCTCTGCCCCTTGATTGATGATGACGTGATAGGACTTGATGGCTACAGACTCTTTAGGAGTGATCGGAATACACATGGGGGTGGTGTCGCTCTATATATTAATACCTGTTTTGATATCAAGGTGCTTGCGTCGACGACAACAGTCTGGACGTGTAGGCCTGGTCATCCTGAGTATATCTTCTGTGAGATTAATCACCCTGGTGTTCTTCCCATTTTCGTCGCTGCAGTTTATAGACCTCCTGATGCTCCCTTCACTATCGGCACTGACTTTATTCCCAATCTCAATAGTTATCTTGACGATTATAACACTAAGATAATCATGGGGGATTTCAATGCGGATCAGCTCTCGAATAGGCCGGATGCGGAACTCCTTCGAGGTCTTGCTGAAGAGAACTCTCTTTATCTGGTCCCTCATGGAGCTACTCATCATCGTGGTGAGGCCAATACGTGGCTTGATCTTTGTTTTATTGATCGCGATGACACACTGATCTCTTATTGGAAGACTGATGTTCCTTTCATTGATCACCATGATCTCATTACAGCTACACTGAAAGTGATGTTTCCGCGTTCTGCTCCACCGGCTGATTTCGTATTTAGAGATTTCAAGTCCCTCTGTCAGATCAAACTCAACCAGAGCCTGTTGGCTAGTGATTGGTCGGCCTTTGATGCTTCGCCCTCGCTCTCTGATATGGTTAGTTGTCTTAGCTCGAATCTCGGCAGGGCAATTGAGGTAGCCGTTCCCTTGAAGACGGTGAGGCGTTCGTCGAAGCGTAGACCATGGCTGACAGGGCATCATGATGATCTCCTTGCTGAGAGGGATCGTCTGTACAGGATTTACAGGCGCACACGCTCTCGGTGTGCCCTACTTGAGTATCGTATAGCTCGTGATCTGGCTCATCGTGAGGTGAACGGGGCTCGACAGCAGTACTATCAGGCCAGATTATCGTCCATCTCTGATCTGGCCCGTATATGGAGGGAACTGCGTTCTTTGGGAATACTTTCGTCTGAGTCGAGTACGGTGAAGCAGGATGGGGAGGCTCTCAATGCCCACTTTGCGGGTGTTTCTTTCGGTTCGGACGAGCCTTCGGTGGATGAATGCCTTGGTTCTTTGGCTGCTGGTTCTGATGCTGTGGGCAGCTTTGACTTCGTCCCGGTGACAGAGGCTGAAGTTGCATGTGCTGTGAGTCATTTCTCCACTGGGGCTCGGGGCACTGATGGTGTCCCTGCATCGGTGGTCAAGGCTGCTCTCCCCCTCCTAGCTCCATTCCTGACGAGAATTTTCAATTTCTCACTCTCGAGCTCGAGTTTTCCTTGTCAGTGGAAGAAGTCATTGGTTATTGCGCTGGAGAAGGTGAAGAATCCTTCCTCAGTGAGTGACTATAGGCCGATTTCACTACTGTGTTTCATGGGGAAGGTCCTGGAGAGGCTAGCTGCGCTCCAAATAAATAGATACCTTGCTCTCCACTCCATACTTGATCCTTTCCAGGCTGGTTTCAGACCTGGGCACAGTACGCAGACTGCCTTGCTGAGGTTGAATGATGACATTCGCATTGGTATTGATCGTCGTGAGCTTACAATGCTGTTATTGTTCGACTTCAGTAAGGCGTTTGATTCAGTCTGCCATGTGCAGCTGTTAAATAAACTTCACAAGTATGGTTTTTCTATCAGAGCAATTGGATGGGTTGCTTCTTACCTGTCGGGTCGCTCTCAGGCAACGCTTGATGGATCTGGAGGAATGTCATCTTTCCGTGCTCTAAATAAGGGTGTACCTCAAGGATCAGTCCTGGGGCCCTTGTTATTCCTCATTTACATCAATGATATATGCGCAGCGATTCCGGCCGGTGTGAGGCACCTCGTCTATGCTGATGACCTTCAAGTGTATCATACCTACATCCCCTCTGATCATGATGAGGCTGTGGCAAGAATGAGTGCTGTGGCAATTTGTGTGGCTGACTGGGCGTTAGCAAATAGACTCCAACTCAATATTGCTAAGACCAAGGCCATCGTTTTTGGTTCGCAGCCCTTTGTGAACAGGTTGTACTCTGGAGATGTCTCTTCAGTGGCCATTGGGGATTCTCAGGTTCCTTTCGAGACAGCAGTGCGTAACCTGGGTGTGACATTTGATAGTAAAATGTCTTGGAGACCACACATTTTGGGTATCTCGCAGAGGGTTCACTCAGTACTATATAGACTTCGGTTCTTCCGTCCTAGCACGACTCTGCAACTGCGAATACACCTTGTACAGTCCCTCATTTTTCCCCTGATTGACTACTGCTGCCTAGTGTACGATGGTCTGTCTGCGGAGCTTGCTGTCAAGCTTGAGCGTCTCATCAATTGTGGGATTAGGTTTGTCTTTGGAGCTAGGCGTGGCGAGCGCATGACCCCGTACCGGGAGAGACTCGATTGGCTGACGTGTGAGGCTCGAAGGAGTTATTTCCTTGGGAGTCATATAGGGTGCTCTCCTCTAGAGTGCCCTCTTACTTATTGAATCGCTTTGTGGCTAATCAGAGTACTCGACCGATGCGTGGTCATGTGGCACCTCTTACTGTACCTAGGTACGGTACGTCGGCTCTTCAATGCTCGTTCTTCATCTCCGCAACTTACCTTTGGAATTCCATTCCTTCATCTGTGCGTGATCTCACGNGCACCTCTTACTGTACCTAGGTACGGTACGTCGGCTCTTCAATGCTCGTTCTTCATCTCCGCAACTTACCTTTGGAATTCCATTCCTTCATCTGTGCGTGCTCTCACGGCAATTACCTCCTTCAATGCTGCCCTAAGACAGCTTTTGCTGCAAAATGAGCTGCATGTGCGTCACTACTAATAGCCTCTTTTCCTCTGTTCATATTTCATCTCGTATTTCTCATTTTACATCATTCATTTTAGATGGAATCATCTCTACTGGGAGCCCGCCGGTCAGTGTTCAAATTAGCTTCCTTTAGTTACTTTCTTTATTTTTGCTTATTTTGTGCACTGGTTCTTTTTATCAAGTCATACTTACAGTTATTGGTACTATTTTTTTCTTTTGTGAATATCTTACCGCTGTTACTATTATCATTCTTTTTAGACTCCACTTGTGGATGTCAATTTGTAAGACATAACCTACAGTAAATAAATTACATACATACATACATAAAATAAAACTTTCAGATACTTTCTCTTTTATTGATTACTGAAGACATAGAAGACAAAGAAAACACTAGTCAAGGAGTACAAACGAAGAAAAATGAGAAAGCGGAGTCTGGAGCAAAAAAAAGTCCTCTAGACGATCAGTACTTGCTGGAACACGCATTCTTTATCTTGCAAGACACCCTGCCCTAACACCCGAACTAAAGAAGATTTACGATCAGGGAAATATGTAGCCTCAGTAAAGCTTTTTCATACGTTTTTGGGCTTCGGACATAAAAATTATCGCCGAAGGCTACCCCACCAAAGTAGAATGGGATAACTACTGTCATACTATCATTGACACCTATCCTGACTTGGCTGATAGTAAAGAAGTACTCAGTAGTAGTGGTAAACATTGGGTATGTATTTTACCAATTTTTTTTGTCAAAAATTTTATTCAAATCACTCTTCCTGGAGTCATTTCAGTCAAGACAGTCAGCTAGCATATTTGCATTATTATTTTCGTGGTCAACAAAAACCGATGCTTTACTTAAAAAATACCTTTCAGTTAATCATTTGGAGAAAGTAAACTATCAGTAACTTGTGGCAGAATTTTCTTGAATTTTGAATTAATATTTCCTATTTGTCATCATTTCAAATAGTCTTCTCTCTCACATACAGTTAATTCACATTCCTATATTCCACTTTGTATTATCTTTCTAAAATTGATTAATTTCTGTTCTTAATAGACCGTTCTCAAGACTCAGATTCAACGAAATATCACCAATGAAAGGTACCAGCACAATGTACCTACACCTGGGCCATCGAAGAGAAAACAATTTACTTTGGAAGATGTGGATGAAGCTGTCAAGAAGGCAAAGGGTGTGCTAGTGACACCTCAGAGGTACGTATTTATTTATGTGCATTTTTCTGCTTTATTTATTTATATAAAACCGGAATATTCCTCGTAGGTCGTCGGGTTTGGTATCAATCAAAGATACTGATGAGGCTCTGATGGAACTAAAGAAGTGCAAACATGGTGATGATTCTGATCATGTAAAAAGATTACTCGTTGAAACGAAAGTTCAGCGCAGAGAGGCAATCAAAACAATCAGCACTGTGGACCAAATTGTTCAGAAATTCCCACAAATAAAATGTTATTCTCTGGTTTGTATATTTTTGCTAGTTTGATATAGTGTTAAGAATTATTCTTCCCCTGGACTTGACGAATGTCTTTAATTTGTGTTTCTTAGTTTTAAAATGATATACTTTTGATGCAGATGATATCCGAGTTTCTTTCGATAATGGGCAAGGAGGAGGCTGCTTTGTTGAGGGCAATAGAGAAAAACACTGTACGTATTGGTTCATTGTTCGATATTGAAGCCAGAAACGAATACTCCAAGGCCACCATCGTTCTTCGTCTATATGAGAAATTAATCCCTGGAAAAGGAAAAGTTAAGAAAGTGAGTGAACCACTCATCATCGTAAAGAAGGTATAGAAAATAGAAAATTTAGTAATTTAATTTCCCAGCGAAGTAGTAGAACAAGTTGAGTGAGGAATTTGATATAGAAGCTTTTGCAAATATCTTTGAGACTGGCGAATCTAGGGGAGATTTAAGAAAATTTCCATGAAAGTCAAAGAAACTGTAAAAAAAATTAATTTCATGTTTTCCATAAACTTCTATTCCCAGATATAGGGGAGGATGAGGTGAGATGGACACTTATGACTTTTTGTAAAATATTAATGACGCCTTGAATTGTTGATGGAATAGAATTTTTTTTCAATGGAAAGAACAATTCTTCCGCTTTGAGATGAGCCTAGACTGAGCTCAATTGATAAATCTGTTTCTGAGTTATGAATATTTTTTAAAATTCAAGTGTCCATTTTATCCCACCCTCCCCTATATCATTGCGATGGAAAAAAAACATTAATGAATTCAATTTGTGGAACAGGCAGGAAGGTGCATATGAGAGGTTTTAACTGCTCCATGCAGTTCTGCAAGACTTGTGATGTACGTGGTAAGATATACAATTGCTGAGGCTTTCGTAGTGGCTGGTAGCGTCGAGATTCTTTTCCCAAATCCAACGGTTGCTCGCTTAGTTTTATTTCTATTGGCAACTTATTATTGCTGGCATAGAAAATATCCTAGCGACTATTTCAATACTCTTCAGTATTTAGACCAACAAATCCTCGGAAGTATTATCAAAAACAAAACAATCAATGCTTTCAACCGCAATGTCAATCACGCAGTGGAACCAAAGGCATGTGAAATATCCTTGCAACGACGACAGCATAATGACAGTGACAGTTCGAGTTAACTTGGTATTGGTTAGAGATAAGTCAACCTAACTATGTGAACTCCAGACTTCGGTTTGGGTGAATATCTTGTAAACTGAAGAAGATTGAAAATTTTTTTCGAGGACCTTGTTAGAGATTGAGGCTATGATGTTAGGGCGGATTGGGGACACGTGATATGGAAAAGGTGAAATTAAAGACACGCGGATTACAAAAACACTGGTGATGTACTTTATTTGTCGCGCAAGCCACGCGTCTTGATTTTAGGGATGCACGAATTGGTTAATGTCTCAATGTCAATGTGATGATAGTTTTTTCACTGCAATAGAGATTCTCTCGATATTAAACTTGATGATTGACTCAAAATAATTGATAGTTAACTCGGAATTAATTGATAATTGAATCAAATAGAGACGCTACATAGAGCGCTAGACTCGATATAATACTCGGTGATGTACTCGATACTCGGTTAGTTTGACACTGTACTCTATAGGTGAAGCTCGGACTAACCGATGTATTCTCTTTGAGGAGTAGATTGATACTACTGAAATTCCATATTTGGCGATTTGCTTCGTGATTTACGCGTGGACCCGAAGGGTCCTGAGGTCGTTCGCGATTTTCCGTTGAGCCCGGTAATTCAGATAGAGAAATATTTGCTGCATTTCAAACATCCCGGGGGCCATTCATCATCAAGGATGATGAATTTCTGCGTTGAACTTCTTCGCTGCTTGTCTTCGCTGGTTACTCGTTGATTGGCTCTGAATCGTCTTCTCGATAGTTTTCTTCTCCTGATTTTTCGATAGATTTCTTCTCCTGATTGCTGATGTACTGGCGATAATTTAGGGCTGATTGCTGATGTACTGTTAATAATTTTGCACTGGAGCTATTTAATACGACTCACAGCTTCGGATTGATGACATCTTCCAGGACCTGCTCTGCGGTAGATAGGATACTGGAGAGGCTTCTAGAAATTCTGATGCTTTCTTGATTTCCGGATTTTGACTGTGTCTCACAGTTGACACAGAAAAAACATTAACATTGATCATCTGACATTGGTGTGATTGGCCTGGAGTTTAAGCAGGCCTCTATCTGGACGAGGATACTGTTGAGTTCCTCGTAGGTGAATGTCGACGGCCCAAGTACTCCTTTGAGGTAATACTTGGTAGATTTAACAGCTGCTTCCCACTTGCCTCCGAAATGGGGTGCTCTCGGTGGTGAGAAGCTTCATTGAGTCCCATTTGTGGCTAGGGCAGCTTGGTTCTGTTGATTCTCTCTGGACTCTTGATTGTACAGCTTGTTGAGTACTCCTGGGGCTCCAACGAACGTAGTGGCGTTGTCGCTGTACATAACCTCAGGGATACCTCTCCTTCCGGTGAATCTCTTATAAGCTCCGATGAAAGCCTCTGTTGTTTGCCTGAAAACGAGCTCTAAATGGACTGCTGATGTACTGAAACAGAAATACTGCGATATGAATAATAGATGGTTGAGCATTTGTGGCTCGTCATTTGAGAATGGGGAAGGGACCGGCGTAGTCCACTCCCGTGTGGAGAAAAGCTCGTGCAGGTGATATTCTCACAGCAGGCAGTAGGCCCATTAGCTCCTGGGCCTGTCTTCCTCGGTGTCTAATGCAGGTGGGACAGCGTAGGCTGTATGCTCTCACAGTGCCTCTGCCATCGATGATCCAATACTTCTGGCGGGTGTAGGCTAGAGTGAGTTGAGTCCCTCCGTGGAGAGCTTTTCGGTGAGCTTGTTCGATTACCAACGTTGTGAGACGAGACTGACGAGGCAGATTAATTGGATGAATCTCGTCAGGGTCTAATTGAGAATTCTTGAAGCGGCCACGTAGCCTCATGATGCTCTCATTGTCTAGCGTTGGAGTCAGCTTTGCTAACGGATGACTCCGTGGTAGTTGATGGTCTCTCTCGAGAAGTCTGTGACCAGATGCAAAATATTGATATTGTGTTATTTTTACCCAGAACAGCCTGGCTTCGTTGAGTTCTGTAGATGTGAGGACAGGCGCCTGAGAAACTGGCTGTCTCCTGAAAGTGTCAATTGCTCGGTTCAGCGTAGCTGTCACTTGGAGGACCTTGGATAGTGTTGAGTATCTGTTGAGAAGCTCTACCACGGCGTTGACTTTGATGGTTGTCTGATGTGATGGAGATGGCCTCGCTTCTATTGATGCTTCTGCTAGGGAGTCGATTGGTGATGATGGCTAACTCTCAGGTTCCTGATTTATCCGTTCAGGACCTAACCGCCATAGCTGATGTTCTGCTAGTTTTTTTGGTGAGAGTCCTCTGGATGCGCAGTCACCTGGATTTTCTTTACCGCTGATGTCTCTCCAAATAGTATTTGGAAGGGATTCCTGGATTTCATGGCTCTATTTTGGACGAAATCCTTCCATCTTGATGGGTGGCTCTTGATCCAAGCCAGGGCTACGCTTGAGTCAGACCATAGATACGTTTTCACTTCGTTGAGTTCCAGCATCTGCTGAGTTGCGACTACTGATTGAGTTAGCATGACTGGTGCTGTTAGCTCAAGTCGAGGAACGGTCATGCGCTTGAGAGGAGCTACTTTTGTTTGAGCACATACCAGTACTGTCGATGCTGGCTCGTTGATCTGCTTGGTGCGAATGTACACCACTGCGCCCATTGCTGTTGTTGAAGGATCTGCAAACCTGTGAGTCTGGATGCTGCATGTCTCCAATGAGAGTCTCAGCCATCTTGGCACTGAGACTTGGTCTAACTTGTGGAGGTTCTCTCTGAAGCTCATCTACTGATTTTCATACTCTTCTGGAAGTGGCTCGTCCCAAGTGAGCTCAAGTCTCCATAGATCTTGAATAATTATCTTACCTCGAGCGGCCACTGAAACGATGAATTCCAATGGATCGAACAGTTGAGCTATTTCTGATAGCACTGTTCTCTTTGTAAAGGTTATTGAGTCAAACTGCCCCGATCTGTATCGGAAGGTATCTGAAGACTGATGCCAATACAATCCGAGTACCTTGGTGATCGGCTCTTCAAACTGGATGATTAATTCTTTAATGATTTCCTCTGGTGGTGATGATGTACCTCGGGAAAGAAACAATAGATGAGGGCGGTATCATTTGTCAAATTGATAAATAGAGAAAATAATACCTTACCTCTGCATTCAGTTGCTCCCTGCAATCCCGGGTTTTGAGTTGAAGACTTGCTGCGCTGATGCTCTCTCGATGTTCTCTGAAGACTTGAGAGTGTCTTAAATTCTCTCAGTCTGTGGTGATGTTTTCTTGTTGCTGTTCTCTTGAACTTGCCGATTGCTTGGTTCGAGATTTAGTTTCCTTAGCAAACCTCAGCTATTATTGAGTATCTTGTGACGTAATTTCCTGAGGTTCACGGAACCCTCGATCCGCTACGTAGCCCTTTGACGCACGATAACCCGGAAACGACAAATAAGTCGAGCACCAGGTCGTTATTACCAGAACGACCACTGGAACGAAACGAACAACCAAAATCAGAATTCCAGAATAATCCCAAGCTTCGAGGCGGTCTCCTGCTAACTCAGACCGAAGAACGGCGTGAAGGTCACTGATGAAGCTTAGATTAAAAAGTGACTAGGTATTGACCGAATAAATGAATCTAACTCAAAATTGCGGGGGAAAATCACAATATTTAATCAGGCTTAGATGACTCGATATAATAAAAACAAATTAAGTTCTTTGAAAACCCCCTTTGGTTATTTCGATCAATCAACGATCATGAGGCTTCGATAGTTACTAAATCTACAATTGTCAAAGGACTAAAGAATTCTGATAGGAAAATAAGGAAGTAAAATACTCAGTCAATTTAGTCAAAAGAGTTTCCGATAGTTAAATTGAAAGANAGAATAATCCCAAGCTTCGAGGCGGTCTCCTGCTAACTCAGACCGAAGAACGGCGTGAAGGTCACTGATGAAGCTTAGATTAAAAAGTGACTAGGTATTGACCGAATAAATGAATCTAACTCAAAATTGCGGGGGAAAATCACAATATTTAATCAGGCTTAGATGACTCGATATAATAAAAACAAATTAAGTTCTTTGAAAACCCCCTTTGGTTATTTCGATCAATCAACGATCATGAGGCTTCGATAGTTACTAAATCTACAATTGTCAAAGGACTAAAGAATTCTGATAGGAAAATAAGGAAGTAAAATACTCAGTCAATTTAGTCAAAAGAGTTTCCGATAGTTAAATTGAAAGATCTAACCATCCCAAAAAGTCCGAAATAAATAATGTCAAAGAGAAAAATGAAAATCAGAATCAAAATATTGTCAATAATAATCATGCAGATTGAACAATACTGAATGATCGAAACCCAAGAATTCGTCCACGTGACAAGTAAAGCTGGCTGTCCGAACCAAATACGAAAACTCAAGACAACGGGCCAGCGAAACGAAGCAAGGTCACGAGACACAAAAGAAACCTACGTTCAATGTCCTTCACTGAATATTAACCGACAGCGAGAGTGTTCGTCTAACACAAATTCACTCAAACGTAACACTAATTAATTTTCCAAGTATCATCTCAAAATAAAATATTCATAAAATAATTGTCACTCACAACATAAAACACGAGAGCCCGAAACTCTACGACATAAATCAATGTCGCGAGACAACCAAAATCGAATGATCAGACATATTAATTCCAAATACGCACGAGAAAGAGACAAAAGAGACCAAATAATCAATTACTGATCAGGGTGATTAGGACTCTATCTGGCAATTATTCCGAAACTCTAAAAGTCCTATGGGACTAAGATGCACAAAACATCTGTTCAAAAACTCTAAAATTGGCCAGAGTCCTACTCACGATGAATTCACACAGTTGTATCATACGAAGTTGTAGCCATCCCGCTCACCCAGCAGTCCACCTCGGTCTGTCCGGAAAACGTCTTCAAAACTCCTCAAATCCGAGTCCCCGGGACCTTCCTCCAGACGAATCCACTCGGGGCTTTCTCCACAGGTTTTTTCATTTCTCCAAAACGCCTTCAGGCTTCCCAACTCCGAAATTAACCCCAATAAGCGATCACCAAAATCGATCGAACAATGTATGGCGAAGACCACCAAACGGGAAGTGAGGTTCGTTTCCCCAGCGACACCACGCTGGACCGTGAAAACGCGGCAACGACGCTCATTGGCTGCTCGCTCCGTTCACTCCTCCAATCAGTTTCCAAACAACTAGAATCTGTCGCTCACCTGGCCGAACCAAGTCCGTCGGCCGCATGCACAGTGACTTCTCCAACGTTATTTATTCCAAAACAACTTATCAAAAATACCAAATAAATCCGAACGTCCTCTGACATCCTTCCAAATCATTCTCCAGACCATTCTGTCCCCGAAAGACGATCCAGCTCAACCTCCTTCTGATTTTGATGAAATCCTCCACTCCCCCTTCCGCATTGAACCAGTCGGGCTCCTACGTGCCGTTTTCCCTAGAGTTGCCCGAGAGCTGGCGACCTCTGGCAATCCGAAGACCCATGAGGCTCGCATCACGAACTCGAAGTGTCCCGGAGTCTCTCGACGATTTCTGGAGACGTTGCCACCTCAGTCCCACGATGTCGGTGCCAGATTCGATTCAACAATACAGGAAGAAATATAAAACAAAATAATTAACAAAATATACTAAACCTCTCTCGTGACTCTCGCTGTCGGTTGGTGACTTCCCGTCTGGTGATTTTTAAATTAGAAACCCACACGCGAAACGGTCGAATAAAGAAATACTATTTGTGACGGAAAATAACACGTCACAATCTATTGAGTGGCTCACAGGCGTGGGCTCTGTTGTGCCTGGGTGAGCCAATAACGACCTTTCTCTGTAGGATATCTCTGCTTTGGATTTCTATTGATGACTGCCAGTTCCGTGCTGATTGCTTGTCTCTCAGACCCCTGATGCAGTGGATGCTATACTGGAATGGGTTCTGGAGATTCTGGTGTCTTTCTGATGTTTCCCAGTGCCTCCTACTTGTTAGTGAATTCTCTGTAGAGCTGGAAATGTATTTCGTCTGACATGAAATGGCGTACAACTTGCTAAGTTGACATGAGGCTGTGGATTTATACTTTCCGAGCGTTGCTGTTGATGTGCTTTTGGTACAGTCGGTGGATGTAACGCTCAGTTACGTCTCTGCTGTGTGTGTGGATTTTCTCTGTATCTCACACTTGCGTTTATCTGGTAATTGCTCTCTCTGTAACGTGAGTTGATTGGTCCTGGCCCTAGCTCTTGGGTGAAGCTCTATTGACTGCTCGTTCATGGATTCCTTTAGTGCACTTGGGAAATCCTGTAACGTGACATTTTTGCATGGGGGTTAAAAATGCCTATTACCTTCGCCCTTCTTCGCCCTGAATCTAGTTAAACTCAAAAATTCAAAAATCTATGGGCGCCAGGTAATTTTTAGCCGCAATTACCAAACCGGAGGAGTCTACAAAATCAGTTCTAACTAATTCGAAAACCTCTAAAACGTAAACAAAAAGGGAGAAAACTAGATTTTTTGGAAAAGGTAACGGTCCTCGGTTCGCTCAGTGTACTAGGTTGTGGAGAGAGGGGTGGATTTCGGGTGGAAACGGATTAATGGGGCGGTCAAAACTACAAAAAAAAAAAGAGATCGACATTGTCCTTACATGTTTCACAATTGAAATTTTTCAAAATAAAGAATTTACATACTCTTACATAATGGTCTTACCAAAAAGACTGAAGCTCAGTCGTTGCAGTTCTTTGATGATTGTTCCCGATCATTGACCTTAAAATCTGGAGGTCGATCGACCATCCTCTCTGTTGATGATCGTAGATACTATAGATTGGTGAAGTCTTTGGTGTTGACTCTTCTGCTGTTGATGACATTCTCTTGATGCTTAATTGATTAGAGCTGCGGTTCTAATCTACACTCTCTTTGGTGGCTGTGCTCTTACTTGAACTATTGCTGACAGCGCAGATCATTGATACTCTGGAGATCGCGCCTCTTCCTAGTATGCATCCAAATTGTTGGTGATGTTTCTCCTTCTGATGAGCCTTCTGTCGACTTGAAGAAGGCGTAAATTCCCTCAGTTGTCGTCAACTTCGATGTGGCTGCTCTTGATGTGGATTTTGCAGAGGGGAGAAACACAGAGGATGAGGCCGTATCATTTATCAAGATTTGATCGTAAAATGAGAAAGTAATGCTTGACCTCTCTTCTGGTCGTTTCTGAAAGTTTCTTTCTCGATGCTGAGGTCCATGATGGCTGAAGTTTTGGATGTTCAGCGCTGCTATTGATACTCTTGATGATGTACTCTGATTTGAAGGTAGATATTGGATGAATCTATCCTCATTGTTGAACTGCTGACTTTGGATCTTCCGATAAGATGTCTTGCTTTTTATCTGTTTTTAATTGATGAGCTTTCTCATCGATTGAGGTTAACTGTTGCTGATGCTGTCCTCTGTGAGCCTTCCGTCGACTCGGAGGAGGCATAAATTCCTTCAGTCGTCATCCAGCTCGTTGTTGATTGCTAAGGGGAGAAACGCAGGGTGAGAGACGTATCACTTGCCAAATTATTCATAAATGGAATATGATACTTATCTCTCAATCCTGGAGTCTCTGGATTCCCTTAGCTCGTGGATGATGCTGACAATCTCCTGATGATTCCTGTAGAGGGTCGGGATTGTGTGACCCGATGCTTCTTAACTAATTTGAGTCTTTTTGCAGCTCTCTGGTAGGTAGTCCCGGCTCATATATTCATGAGTCGGAAGTAAATTCTCGATGAATTTCTCTTGCAGATTGAGAAGC